AGAAAGAAAGAAAGAAAGAAAGAAAGAAAGAAAGAAGAAAGAAAGAAAGAAAGAAAGAAAGAAAGAAAGAAAGAAAGAAAGAAAGAAAGAAAGAAAATCAGCCATCATTTGCTGAATGGCAGTCGCAGTGACTGCCAATGTTGACTGAAAGGTGTCCGTGGAGGGTCTGTATGGTGGAGTTGGTAATCTCCCAATGGGCCAGTGATTGTCCATTAACAGTGCTGTTTTCTCCTTCTGAAGATACAGCAGTGAAATGCAAGCAGTAAACTACACTAGACTCTCACAGTTCCTGCTGCTGGGCCTCTCAGAGGATCCAGAAGTTCAGTCCATTCTCTTTATACAGTTCCTTTCCATGTACCTGGTCGCTATGCTTGGGAACCTGCTCATCATCCTGGCCGTCAGCTCTGACTCCCACCTCCACATCCCCATGTACTTCTTCCTCTGTAATCTCTCCTTTGTTGACATTGGCTTGATCTCCACCACAGTCCCAAAGATGCTGGAGAACATCCAGGCACAGAACAAAGACATCTCTTACATAGACTGCCTCACTCAAGCATATTTTTTTATTATTTTTTTTGGAGTGGATGACTTCCTCCTGACAGTGATGGCCTATGACCGCTTTGTGGCCATCTGTTATCCCCTGAAATACACAATCATCATGAACCCTCGCTTCTGTAGCTTTCTGGTTCTAATGTCCTGGTTCATCATATTATGGATAGGTCTGATTAATATCCTCATGCTGATGCAACTCACCTTCTCTATGGGCACTGTTATCCCACATTTCTTCTGTGAACTGCCTCAGCTTCTCAAGGTGGCCAGCTCTGATGTCCTTATCAATAACATCATTCTAAACATGATAGCTGTCCTACTGGGTGTATTTCCTGCCTTTGGTATCATCTTCTCTTACTCTAAGATTGTCTCTTCTTTAATGAAGTTGTCCTCCACTACAAGCAGGTATAAAGCATTTTCCAACTGTGGGTCTCACCTCTGTGTGGTTTCCTTGTTCTATGGAACAGGACTTGTAATTTACCTCAGTTCGGCTGTGACCCATTCTTCCCAGGAAAACTCAATGGCCTCTGTGATGTACACTGTGGTGACCCCCATGCTTAACCCCTTTACCTACAGCCTAAGGAACAGGGATATGAAAGAGGCCCTGAGAAGACTTCTTAGCAGAGCATCATCTTGTCTTTCGTAGGCAGGTGTCTTCAGAACCATGGGAGTTTAACAGTCCTTAAGGCAAATATAAAATGTGAATTGCAGTGTCATATAATGGCTCATTTTTCTTCCCTAAATAACATGCTGACTTTTTTGGTATTGCTCCATGTACTTATATATCTCTCTTAAATAGTTTTTATTTATCTCTTCTGAACCATCCCACTAGTGCTTTTCTTTCAATTTCTTTCTCTTTGCATGGTGCATTAAGTGTTATGTTTTGTAAGATTTCTTAGCCATTTCTGAGATTTTGAACATGATGGTAATACTTATATCAATTGCAGGTATGCTTTTTACAAAATACTTTTTGATTATTAATGATTCCATAAAATTTTTACAGCCTTGTTCTTAACTCATGAAAGTATATAAAGACAATCACAATGCTTACCATATCAGGTTTGTTCTTTTCTTACTCTTATGAATTTACTTCTGAAAACAATGTTTAAGATATTTTCTCACATATTATGTGAAGGGACCCTGATGCTGATCCTGCATTCTCTATGTTTGAAATTTTTTGTATAATTTTAATAATTAGACTTTTTAATATGAATAATTAGACTTTTAAATTTGAAGATGGATTTTCTTCTGATATTATGCATGAAATCATTCTAAGCTACTGCTATATTTATGCATCTTCTCTTTTTTCTTCTGTGTTACTTTCTTCTTTTCATTCCTTTTTCCTTTTCCCTTTATTTTTCTTTCTTCTCTGAGCTTTTTTCCCCCTTCTTTTTCACTCCATTCCTCATATGGTTGTTTCTGTTTGGTATTGTTAACTTCCTCCATTTTATTTTTTAAGGTTAAATAATATGTACAGAAGCAAACTATGTCTTTATTCATAAATGAGCATTTTGGTGTTATTATCAATTTTAGCTATTATGAACTATCATGATTATACACCTAGATTTATTTACTACAGAATGATGCTTTTGTCAATGCTAAACTGTATCTGCCCAAGTGGGCCTATACCATTACATTACTTAGTAAAGTCGTGGTTATTTTCATGAATGACAAAGATGTCACCAAAGTGGTATCTTTTACTCAGTACCTAACATGGTGTCAAACAGCAAATGAACATGCTGGTTTTCAATTATTAAAATATCTCAGAGTCAAACTGTTTGCCTGAGTATGAGCTCATTTTATTTCATTTAAAGTAGGATCTCATTGTAACTGTGAACTGCATTCCCTCGGGAATAATGATGAACTGTAGGACTTCTTAGAAGATCCTACGTCATCTATGTAGCAGTGTTTTTTTTTTCAGGTTTTGTCCACTTTACAGTCATACAGGGTAAAATTTTGTTTCAGACCTCTGGAATGCCTTTATATATTTTGGATACCTCGATCTTATCAGAAATATATTTTACAAATATATCTTTTCTCAAATATGGAGGGAAAACATTGTCTCAGGCTTTCACAGAGAGCAAATTTGTCAAGCAGTGGCCGTGACTCATCCACATGGCTGAGACTGACAAAGGATCTGCAAACTGCAGTACAGGGTTACAAGACAAATCCTGAGGTGATTTGATTGACCGTATCAGATACAAAAGTTACATTTCCTGTTATATAGGTCTTGCATTATCTTGATCTTAACAATCCAGCAGAAAAGTATAACAATGAAGTATAAAAAATAAAGCCATATTAATATGCTAAGCTGTGAATGGCTCAAGTCAACAACTTCTGACATTGCTGGTCTTATAGAAAACCCACTATTGTTATGGACTACTGGACTATATTGGGTTATTTTGCTGAATTCACGCACCTACAATATTTAAATGGCAATGGAATACCCATCTCTAACAAAACTAAACAAAAAAAGGGATACAAAGAAAGGACTATTTTGTATCTGTATATACAAAATAGGATAGAAATACAGCTACTTTCTCTTAATTCAATGAGAAAAAAGATTGGTACTAATAGTATTTGGACAGGATATCATGTCTGCATCTTGTCCTATGAATAACCACTAGGAAGATAACAATATGCAATGTATTAATTATTAAAACTGTACTATTAATCGGTTTTGAAACTGTCTCATTTCTGTTTCTCAATAAAATTAATAAAAATATTTTTTCTCTGTGTTTCTGTTCATATTTAAGTGTAAATGTTTTTGCTAAATATACTCATCATAATGTACAACAGATTTTTTTAGTATTACTTATTTTTTACTTTATTTATGACAGAAGGAAATAAGTATCTACAATTTCTTGGAAAAAAAAAGAAAATTATTCCAAAGGTAGATTTAGGCTTCTTGCCATGTTTTTTTTAAAATTCATTTTAATGAGAAGATAAAACAGCTATAAAACAGTTTCAAAACAGGTTAATAGGACAGTTACAATAGTTAAAACATTGCATAGTGGGGCTGGAGAGATGGCTCAGTGGTCTAAAGCACCTAATTAGAACAAGCTTGGCAAGGCATCAGGGACCGCGGTTCAATCCCCCAGCACCACATGCCAGCCAGCGCCGCCCTCTGGTGGGCTGAGCTGGCCACACACACACACCACACTCTCTCTCTCTCTCTCTCTCTCTCTCTCTCTCTCTCTCTCTCTCTCAAAAAAAAAAAAAAAAAAAAATAAAAAAAAAAAAAAACATTGCATAGTGTTGTCTTTGAAGTACTTGTTCAGAGGATACAGAGATGATATCTTGTCTAAACAATATTAGTACGAATGTTTCTTCTCAATGAATTAAGAGAATGTAACTGTATATCCTAAGTATCTTGTGTATGCATATATATTTTTGATTGATTTATACTATTCCTACCACAGTAACTTTATTTCTGTACACTACAGGTACTGAAACCCCTGATCCACCCCCTCCAATAGATAAGCAATCAAATCTCCATTTCCATGGTTTTGACTAGTTAGCATGTTACATGTGAATTCATTCACTTTTGGTTTTTCTATGCCTGGTTTATTTCTCTTAACATAACTTCATACAAATTCATTTATGTTGTTCAAAATAATAGAATTTCTTTCTTTTTTACTCCTTATTAATCTTACACTAAGTACATATGTATTTACTTACCTATTGACAAATACTTTTTTCTAATTATATGTTGACTATCTTGAAAAATGACTGTATTAAATTATATATATATATATATATATATATTTCTTGATATAATGAATTCACGTGATTTAGACACAGATGAAGTGGAAGAATAGCAGGGTTTTATGATATTTACATTTTTAGTTATTTGAGAAATCTCAATATTTTCCTAATGACAACACAAATTACTTTCACTGATATATTTAAATACACATTTTTAAAAAAAGAGGAATCCTCATCAACACGTATTTTCACTTATTAATTGAAAAATAGTCCAAAAATATGCAGTTTAAATTTGCACACTACTCATGATTAGGTATATTTACTGTCATTTCAAAAATAATATACCGGAATGGCAGGAATCAAAACTTGAGTAAATGTGTGTCCACAGATGGAAGTTTCTACAGATTCTGTGACATAGAAGATGAAGAAACAACTCCAAATAAACTCAGCTACCTTAATTTTGACAAGGGGCCAAAATACACCAACTCAAAGAAATATCCTCTTCAATAAATGATTCTTTGAAACCATCCTTTCCAGTCCTAATCCAGGTCCGGTGAGTGTGCGGAGAGCTTCCTGCTACCCTGCACTGCCGGGACCAGTCCCAGCCCAGGCCCAGCATGGGCCGGACCCTCTCCCAGCCCCTTGGGCCGCCCCCCACCACTCCGCAGTGCCTCCCCCACCCCGCCCGCCAAGTAGGATTTTCTGCCGAGTTCCAGGAGCCCTCAGACCCAGTCCTAGCCCAGGTCTGGTGAGTGTGCGGAGAGCTTCCTGCTATCATGCACCGGTGGGACCAGTCCCAGCCCAGGCACAGCGTGGGCCGGACCCTCTCCCAGCCCCTTGAAACCATCCTTTCCATACCTTAAGAATAAGCCTAAACCCATAAATCTCATTATGCACTAAACTAAAATCAAAATTTGTCAAGCATGTAAAAACTTAAATAGAAACAATCTGCTAGAAAATATAATAAGTAAAACTCTTGAAGACATAGGTATAGACAAAGACTTTATTAAAAAATCCTTAATTACATAAAAATATTACAAAGAACCAATAATTGCAACCTCATCTTATTGAACAGCTTTTATCCAGGCCCCTCAAAATATCAACAGAGTGAAGAGACAACCCACACACTAGTGGAAAAAACAGCAACAACAACTGTTCATCAAACGAAGGATTAATATCTAGAAAACAGAGAGTTACCTACTGCCCTGCACCTACAGGACCTTCTAGTGGTCCCAGCCCAGGCACAGCGTGGGTGAGACCCTCTTCCATCCCCTGAGACGCCCCCCACCACTCCGCAGCACGTCCCCAATCACCCCCGCCCAGTAGGAATTTCTACCGCATTCCCAGGACCCCCAAACCCAGTACTAGCCCAGGTCCCCTGAGTGTGTGGGAGATCTTCCGCTTACCCTGAGCGGGCGGGACCTATTACTGGTCCCAGCCCAGGCGCAGTGTGGGTGAGACCCTCTTCCACTCCCTTGGGACGCCCCCCACTACTCCGCAACACCTCTCCCACGCTGCCCACTGAGTAGGAATTTCTGCCGCATTCCGGGAACCCCCAGACACAGTTCTAGTCCAGGTCAGGTGTGGGAGAGCTTCCTGCTACCTTGCACCTGTGGGACCTACTACTAGTCCCAGCCCAGGCGCAGCATGGGTGAGACCTTCTTCCACCGCCTTGGGATGCCCACCACCACTCTGCAGCACCTCCCCAATCCTGCTCATCGAGTAGGAATTTCTGCCGAATTACGGGAACCCCCAGATTCAGTCCTAGCCCAAACCTGGTGAGTGTGTGGGAAAGCTGCCTCTCCACCCTACTACACCTTGTCCCCTCCAGGCTCATCTCAGGCCTGGCATTCACACCTGGGGTGTAGCCCTGCAGCTGCAATCACTGCAGAGAATGCAGAGGATAGAACCACCCAGCTAGTCCAGGACCAGAAAATC